GTCTGCAGGGCTCTTTGTAACAACCAGTGAAGCTTATCTTTTCAAACTTGATTTTCAGAGGACTCAACCCTTTCCTGAAAAACTGAAGGTGTTAATGCCACTAATGACAGCACAGCTGTCATTTTGCTTTACAACAAGCATAATTTGTCTTATTAAATTTTCTATTCTGCTTTTCCTTCTGGAATATCATGAGAAAGGTTTTGTGCAGTTAAAAGATTTTGGAAAATATATAAAGAAACAGTTCACTGTACACAAATGCAGGATTCCAGGAATCAGCATCTGGACCCCAAAGAAGCAATGATAAACACTGTCCTGAGTCAAACATTTGTCACTAATAATACTTCAAGACCAACAATTTAACATGCTTTATACATATGCTTAGACATCTTGCTATACACCATTATAAACCAGTTCATTTTAGGAACTCAGTATTTGAGAAAAAACTTGGTTTCATTCATTAGCTACCAGAAAAGCAAGCACCAGTTCTTTTCACATTTTTGTTCCTTAGATTGGATTCATTTGCATTACTTACAATTTGTACAATATATTAGAAAGAACAGTATTTTCTAAGACACAGCACATTTTGGGAAGAAAACTCTCAGAAGAATAATATGACATGGGGATTTCAGAGGAGAGATCGACTGGTTTTAACATTATTTTTTTTTTTTGTTTCCAACAATGCAGAAAGAAACATCCTGTAATCTAACAACAATGCTTGAAGACAGACATCCATCACTAGCAAGTTGTGTATGTCTTTTTTTCACCCATCTCCTTTTACTTTCCAGCAGCACAAAGGTCACTGTGGTCTATCCCATTAAATGATCCTGTACCATTTGCTGCACTTAGTTGATATCTGATACAGCTTTGGTTTTTGACACAAAGGGATCTTTTGTGCCCATTACAACAGACAGTTAATGTCACAGTTTCTTGTTTCAGCCAAAAAACTACTTACCACCTAGAAACACTCTGCATTTGGACAGTGCAAGGCACACTGCAGCAGGCAAAGATTTGTGACATATATAATTTTTCATAACCAGTGTAAATCTTAACACATGCAAAACCATATTTGCTCTGCCAGTATTCAAAACTGTAAACTTAGAATGCTAGTATTCTTATAAACACTCACATAGGTTATGGAAATAACTCTGTCAATCTAGTGGATGCTCAGTCTCTCCAAATTAACTTGCTACTAATAGACAGGCCAGTGCAAAACTAGATGTACCTTTTTACCACCTAAAGCTGTAAAGGTCTCTTTCATACGTAACTTCTATTCCAGCCTTAAAAACCCATATTGGATTCCTTTTTTTATTCACTATACAATTTAGTAGTTAAAATGATGTTTTTAAAATTATGTTTTGCTATGGTATGTAGGTCACTTGCATTCACTTTCAGGTACTGTATAAACACAGTAGATAGCTGAAGCTTTTATAAGTGTTATTATTCAACTTTGTGTTATTATAGTTCAATTGAGGGGCTTTACAGTCATTGCGCTCATAACATTTAAATTAAAAAAAGAATGAACTTTGATTTAGACTGATAAAGTATTCGCGTTGCATCATACCTTATAAGTCTCCAGAATCTAAAGACAATGTCATTGCTGAGACAGGATAACAGCTGTATCTACCTATGAAATATAAATAAAAGATAGAAATGATGTTATTTGAAATTACTTTATCAATCATATATTAACAATATCATATCAGTATTTGCCCTACTGGTGAAAAAACCTAGACTCTATACAGTCTAGTTAAAAAGTAAACATTTAATTTACAAGTAAAACACCCTTCACTTGCCTATTGATTCTATGATTACCATTCCAAAAAATATCGATTATTTTGACACTAAAAATAATAACAGCTCTCGTCAATTATCTCACACGAAACACTGCAACTTTCAACAAAACTAGAATATTTGCTTTATATATACCCTTAATTAGTCTAAGGGGTGTTACAAGTTTTTATAAAAAAAAAAAAAAAAAAAAGTCAGAAACATAAGTAAATTTTTAATTTCTAAACAGTACTACCTATTTCTAACCAGTACAAGTATTCAGAACACAAAAGCCACTAGATGCTTTCTCCACATATTTCTTATTAACAGTAACCTCTGGCTGTTAAAAATCACGAGCCCATAGATCTTGGTTGTAATAAAAAGAGACTGCTGTGTAAAAGGGTCTATTGACACACAGCCTTAAATTTCTCCTTAATCATCACAGTAAAGACGAAAAAAGTCTACTACTAGATCACAGAGAAATTAGCCCATTAGTTCGCTAATATATGCTGAACCAAAGCCAAAAAAAAAAAAAAAAAGAAAACTGAAATCATATGTTTAAACTGGATTAAACAGAAACTACTAGTTCCATTCTTATTTACTATATGAAGGGTTAAAACTCTCTTACCTGGTGCACACTACTAGCAAATTGAGCTTTTTTACTTTCTCTGTTTTCAAACTTGGCATTTTGAAACCTATGCATTTGGCAATACATTCTACTTTTCATAAAACAGTTTCTAACTTTTTCATTCCTCCATACTAATGAATTTATGAAGTAGAAAAACCTTTTTTCCCAAGAACAAGTAAAACAGCTAAAAGAAAAGCTGAAGTAGCAATGACTAACTAATCATTTTTTTTTCTTTACTGTTACAGAGAAAAAATTTCTTACCTGCTAAATGCGGCTTCTCCTACAAACTAATTCTTACTCTTAACAACTTATAAAATTCATCCCCCAAAAGAAATACTTTGCACTCATTTCCTTTTGTATAAAGTAAAACAACTGCTGTCCCCACTGCAGTCTGAACATAATTAGTTTTCATTTATTACCTATCACTTTCAGCTGTGCCACTTACCAAACCCAGAACCTTCTACTTCACTAAATTGCCATGCTGTCATTGGCCCTGACCCTTGGAGGGAGAGGAATCAACCTGTATCCTGGAAATAGGATTTAAGACAGGAATTAAGCAAAATACAGGCACAAAGTCCAACATTGCAATCCAAAAGGGCCCACACAGCTTCTCCCCAACACTGGAGCTGTTACACTTCCCTTTCTAACAATAAAGCTTCTTATGAGCCTAGTACTGCACCTTGAGCAGAGTACGGTCACTGTTTATCACAGGTGTTTGACATCTAGCTCACATGCCAGAGACTTAAGCAGAAAAGGAGAGACTCAGTTTAGGCAGTTCTCTACGTCAGGTGTTTGCAGTTGCACTCAATAGACTATCCTAACCTAAATGCTGAATTTCTGTGCTGAATAATAGTCCAAATTTAATCAAAACTTTCCCATGATTTAGGAACTTTACTTAGGTTGAGTCTAACCTTCATACCAGGCCCGAGGGCATAACTTTTCCTGCAGTGCTTCTGACTTACCATAGCGTTAGAGCTAGAACATGGCAGAAAAAACTGGGAATTAACAGCCTGTAAAATACTATGTTTCCACTTGATAAGAAAAAGCACCTAACAGCTGAATATTACTTTAATTGCAATATCATGTAGTAGCCAAGATGATAATCTTTCATATTCACAATTTAACAGTGTAGCACTGGTTTGACACAGAGGTCCACAGCAAAGTTCATTTATTATAAATGACTGAACATCTTTGGGTCAGGAAGACAAACAAGGAAAGAGATTTTTAAAAAGTAACCAGCTTGAATTAATTCTTTAATGAGAAACTACTGAAGGTTTTTCTTCACCCTTAAGACACAGTAAGAGTCCTACAGTGCTGATAAAAGGAGCTTACAATGTGAAACCTAGTATAAAGGTACATATTGGATTTCAAAACCATGCTTGTGCTATACGTTATAATTATCACTTAGTTATGAAAATTAGACAGACTTACTAAATAGCATAGCATAGCAAAGGGTTACCCAAGACTCTGACTCCACTCTTCTGACACAAGCAATATTGTCATGTAACCATTCTTAAACTTTCTAACGCAATTTCTGTCAGTGTGTATCGGGTGTCGAGCCCAGGCGTTGGCAGTGGAGGCCGCAGGCACCTCTGTGAGGTGAGGCCGCGGCTGCCCTGGGCCGGACATGGCCAGTTCCAGCCGGCGCCACTACAGCCCTGCCGCAGGGACCAGCAGCTCTGGCGGCACCTCTGTGAGAACTTATTTATGAAAGGGCAAAATGCAGCTTGGGAGTGAGGAAAAACGTGTGGGAAACACCCCTGAGAGCACGACGGTGAGGGAAGGAGGAGGGGGAGGAGGTGCCCCAGGCACCGCAGCAGAGACTCCCCGGTAGCGTGTGGGCACCACGCTGGAGCGGGTGGGTTTGCTCTGAAGGAACTGCAGCCCGTGGAGAGCCCCCCCGGGAGCAGGGAAAAGTGTGAGGAGGAGGCAGCAGCAGAGAGGAGCCATTGTGGACTGGCCACAGCACCCCATTCCCCATCCCCCTGCCCTGCTCTTGGAGGTGGGTATAGGAGATGGGAATGGAGTGAAGTTGACCCTGGGAAAAAAGTCGGACAAAGCTGTTGTTTTAATTTTGTCTTTGTTTCTTTCCATCCAAATTTATTAGAAATTAAATTAATTGTCCCCAAATCAAGTCTGTTTTCCTGTGATGGTAATTGGCAAGTGGTCTCCTTGTCTTTGTCTCAACCTTCAAGCTTTTTCATCTTACTTTATCACCCCATCATGTTGAGACTGGAGAGTGAGAGTGTGGTTGGGTGAGCATCTGGCAGCCAGCCAAGGTCACCCCACCACAGTCATCTACTTGACACCCAATACTGGGCCCAACCCATAGCCCTGGAATTTATTTAATAAGAGTTTTATGCTCTACAGCTGAACTAGCTGGCCCTTCTCAGGGTGGTATGGCCATAGACCAAGCTTAACCCACTACACAGTAAACACACAAGCTGTACTGAACCTGTTGTTTTACCAGTAGGGGAAAAGACATTTTTAAATGAGGGTTGATTTGACTGAATTCTGACCATTGATAAAGTGCTTTACTGGAGATGTGTAATGTTGCATAACTAACTAGACCTGAACACTGAGAAGAAAAGGACAAACACGGAACTTCAGTATTTGCATGTCTTTATTAAATGCGGAGGACAACAACTTATCAAAGATGTTTAATATGTATGGCATCACATACAAAAACACATTCAGTCACCACTGCATATAGTGGTGTTAATCTAAGCTGGTACATATATCAAACACAGATTATACACAAATTTGGGCAGAAGATTTGGCAAAATTTTAATGTTTTTTGGCAGCCAACTTGTAGGACCAATATTGTAAAAGAAAAATCGGTCATTTCCGGCACAGTGATCACACTAATATAGTACACTGCAGGTAGCATAGGTTTGCTTCTCTTGTGCTTGGCCTAGATAAAAAACTAAATAAAAAGTTTCAGTTAGATGTGCACACATAAAAATGCTTCATGTGCTTTTCTCCCATTGGGTGCTGCTCTGCTTTGTTAAGGTTCCCAGCATTCAGACAGAGACTACATTCCGCTAAGTTGTTCACATGTTAAGATTTTTCTACATGCACAGACACCTGCTGCTTGTGGAGTTGGTTGAGGCTGCAAAAGTTTTCCTGTGGGAAGAAGTTTAGAGGACACGGTCCAAGAAAATAATTGCATTTTCTTGGTAAGCTCTGAAATCTTCATAATTTTTTCTGATCAAAATAATTTTCTGTTCTTATCTCAGTCCCATCATCTTCTCAGACTTCTGGCACTGAAAAATCTTTCTGAGTGATGAAGAGTACTGCAACCATGATATCACTTAGACATATGCTGCATCTGCAAAATGCAAAAAATAAAATAATCATTTGCCTGGTTTTCCTCCCAGATGATGGTATTCTTTGGGTAAAATGTTCTGGACCTGTTAATGATCTTTGTGTTTAGCTTATATTTCATCTTTCTTAAAATTTGTACCTCAGCTCTAACTGGGGTGGATCAAGGGCAAAGACACTTCCTTAGCAGGCAACTGTAGCTATGATAATGAATATAGTATCCTTGTAGAGCCTTTTTTTTTTTTCTCTTTTACTTGGAAATGCAGTATTTAAATGTGGTTACTCAATAATCATTGTGTTATATATGTGGTTACATTAAGGGTAACGATCTAGAAAATCAGTGTTCATATCCGGGTTTTCCCAACAAGAAGCTTTTGCTGCAAAATAGGCAATTAATCTTCAAATAGACCATGTAAAAAACAGGTGTTCCATGATGTACAGATTGGTGGCATCGGTATTGAAACATCTTGTTTCATAGCGTGTTGGTATCAGTATGGAGAAAAGATAATGCATTTGCAGTTTCCATCCAAAGCAGACCGACATCCTTATAAATAACTTTTGCTTCTCAAGACAACTCTTCATGTATCATGAAGATTCTAACATTAGAATCTGTTAATCTGAATGGAAAATGCAGCCTAAAATTAGTTATAAACCATCTGCATCTGTGAGCTGTCATGCACAACTTCAAAATCCATATTCCTACTTTTTGGATTTGAAATAGAATAAAATAAAGGAACAACCTCTTTATATATAAAACCTGTGTTAAATAATTCAAGACGTTAACTTACTGCCTAACCTATGTTCTGATGTCTAAATACTATTATCTCTGGGTAGTCCTGTTCTCCACCTAATCATTTATTTTCATGATTTTGGATGAAAAGCACATATAGCATACAAATATTAAAAAAAAAAAAAAAAGTAAAAAAAAAAAAAGTAAAAAAAAAAAAAGTAAAAAAAAAAAGATAAAAAAAAAGAAACAAGAAAAAGAAAAAGGAAAAAAGAAAAAAGAAAAAAAAAGAAAAAAGAAAAAAAAGAAAAAGGAAACAAGAAAAAGGAAACAAGAAAAAGGAAACAAGAAAAAGGAAACAAGAAAAAGGAAACAAGAAAAAGGAAACAAGAAAAAGGAAACAAGAAAAAGGAAACAAGAAAAAGGAAACAAGAAAAAGGAAACAAGAAAAAGGAAACAAGAAAAGGAAACAAGAAAAAGGAAACAAGAAAAAGGAAACAAGAAAAAGGAAACAAGAAAAAGGAAACAAGAAAAAGGAAACAAGAAAAAGGAAACAAGAAAAAGGAAACAAGAAAAAGGAAACAAGAAAAAGGAAACAAGAAAAAGGAAACAAGAAAAAGGAAACAAGAAAAAGGAAACAAGAAAAAGGAAACAAGAAAAAGGAAACAAGAAAAAGGAAACAAGAAAAAGGAAACAAGAAAAAGGAAACAAGAAAAAGGAAACAAGAAAAAGGAAACAAGAAAAAGGAAACAAGAAAAAGGAAACAAGAAAAAGGAAACAAGAAAAAGGAAACAAGAAAAAGGAAACAAGAAAAAGGAAACAAGAAAAAGGAAACAAGAAAAAGGAAACAAGAAAAAGGAAACAAGAAAAAGGAAACAAGAAAAAGGAAACAAGAAAAAGGAAACAAGAAAAAGGAAACAAGAAAAAGGAAACAAGAAAAAGGAAACGAAAAAGGAAACAAGAAAAAGGAAACAAGAAAAAGGAAACAAGAAAAAGGAAACAAGAAAAAGGAAACAAGAAAAAGGAAACAAGAAAAAGGAAACAAGAAAAAGGAAACAAGAAAAAGGAAACAAGAAAAAGGAAACAAGAAAAAGGAAAAAAGATGTTTCAGCAGGAAGAATTAGATTATCACATTGGTAAATGCATAATTATTGCTCTCAGAGACACTTGGTATGTAAATCAAAATAATTTCATTAGACAAAAGTTTTGAAGTGGTCTTAGTTTAATGGCTTAACAATTTAACATATTAAATTATAAGAAAAGTGCAAAATAAAAGTTGATTTCTACATCATTTAGCCTTATTCAGCATACTTCTCAGTCCAGTTTGGCTATTTCATGAATACAGAGACAAAGCCCGTTACAGTTCATAGGAAAAATAATCCAGTTGCCCAAGAAAGGAGTAAGAACATCAAGCCTTGAATGTGAACCCAAATACATACTACTTAGGTGTGTGCAGTGAAGGAAGCCTTTTTGTATTTAGGTATTTTAAGGAATCTCCCTATGTTGATGAGAGAGCCTTGAATAGATGATTCAACGTACTGCATTGCACTCCATTGCCGAGCCAGCTTCTGAGATGGTAAAAAATTGGCATTGTACTATCCAAGTCGGTAAAGCTTTGCCAGTACACAGCAACAAGGAGGAGACTTGCTACCTTCTAGTAAGAAAATTCATTTTCATTTATTATTACTTTCAGCGATGCTAAAAGATTTGCTGCTTTGGCTCCTTTTGGGGAGAAAATGCAGAAGTTGTCTCTTTTTAGAATAGCAAGCTCGCCCACTTAAATTATTTAATGCTCTTCATTCTTTTTTGTAACCTAAGCGCATTTTTCCTCTGTCGGAAGTGGTCAGCAGAGGTCAACACAGCAGGTACAGGGCCTGATGGCCTTTTGTAAATTTCAGAATATTATTAAAATTTATTTTTAAAAGGTTAAGATTTTTTTTTTCCACTTTCCCTGTCTAAATAATGGAATAAGCTGAAATGCCACTCTCTGCTAGAAATGTTGCCAAGTTCATAGCATTAGAGAACAGACTGTCCAAGATTTGACATCTAATCAACATCAGTAATATACTTAAATATGAATAAGAAACAACTCATTTTAATAATTCATCTCTCCTCTTGGTGTATTTGCAGATTACAGTGTGCTAAATAAGGAATATCAGTCTTAGAAGTTATCCTTGTGATAAAAAGGACTATCTGTAGTTCTTAACATGTTTGACACGGGCTGGAGGCTTCTAAAAACTCATATTTATCAGCACTCTTGCTTTCTAAAATCACTTTATGAACTGGTCACTATTTAACACAAGAACAACTTCACAGAAATTAAATTTATGCCTATCCTTTAAAAAATGGATGTTGAAACAGATTTGCACAGTACAGTAACTGTGTTCACACAAACTCCCTATTAGTTCAAGACTTCAGCCTGAGTGATTTCCAAAGCAGTCTGTTCCAGACCAAGGAGTTTAAGGACAGAAGCAAATGTCTCTTAAATTTCAGCTGATTAATGTTGTTTTCCAAAGTATTTGACACCTGTACAGATATCCACTTGCTTGACTTGTAGGCAAACTTTTTCTGCAGTGCATTTGGAATGGAGTTAGGCAAATAAAGCCTTTTTCAGTGCATGCTGTTAGGCATTAATAAGCCTGCTATTAAATTCTTCTCAATTTAAATATCAAAATTCAGAGCTAGTCTTATGGTCCAAATTAAGCTTCAAAACACCAGTGTGCATATGTATATATATATTAGGTTATCTTTCCCAGCCAAAAGGTATATTTTTCATTCTAATGAGATATCAAGAAGCTTTGCTTCCACAAATGTTTACTATATTTTTTCACAGTCACTTCACAGAGCTTAGGAATTAATAAAAATTCTGCCCTTAATATTTATGGGTTAACATTCAAAGACTGTACCACCTAAATTTTTGTAACAATCAAAAGCAAACTCATCCATCTACAATTTGATTTCCCCAAAACCTGTGATTTAATATTACAGAATAAAGTAACAATACTCTCCTATCCCACAGAAAACCCCCCACCCTGTTTCACAGCACTGACAAGAACAGTTCATTTTGAAAGAGCAACAAAACCTACTAATGCAAAAAAAAAAAATCACTAATGTAATTAAAAGAACTAGTAAGAGAAAGACAGAAGGAACATCTGTGTATTATACAGATACTATATATATAAGTACATTGACCTGCATAAAAATGAGCACGGAAACCACTCACTGTTTTTCTTGGTAATAAATATTGTTCAGTTACCAACTTGGATTCTGGATACTAAAACCCCACACTTTAAACTTACTTATACAGGTATTTATCTAACATTACCTCACCTTAAAAACTGGAGAATACTTGTATGCATCAGAGACAACCCATAAGGAAAAATAATTTTTAAAGTCACCCATAAAACTATGCCCTCAAGAGGTCAGACATTGTCCAGAAAATATCCTGGAAAAAGTAGTACCCGACAGAAAGGTAACCAGGAAGAGCAATCTACTGTAAGCATCCACAGATTCAGGGCTGGGACTGAGAATTTTCCTTTACAAGGTAAATGCCAGGTCTCTGAAGCCTGACTGTGACCCTTTAAGAACCCAGACTTGCTCCAATGACCAAAATTTCAAGTAACTTAAATGGAAGAAGGATTATGGTTTAAAATATTCATAGACTTACGATTCTTTCAAGTGATTAACAATGCAGACTTGCATCTGGAAGGTGTACAGGTGATTCATACAATGTGACTATAGTGAGATAGAGTAGCTGGCATCATCCCGCTAGAGGTAAAGTATGGGATGGTGGACTCAGAGTCCAGAGCTCTGAGTGCTGGAGGACATTCCAGGCAGGACTTGCAGAAAAGAAAAATCACTTTTCACAGCTCACAGAAATTGATTATACCTATTGCCCTCTGGAACTGAAGGTTGCATTTTTTTCACTTTATTTTTTAGCTCAAGAACTGTTGATCATTGTAGGAGTCAGATTTTCTTGTGCTTGCTAACCACTATAACCTGCATCAGTTGCAGAATCCAGCAGTGGAAACTGCATGGCTGACCTTGTTGAAAAATGAACACAACTCAAAGGACATAGTTAGATTGCACAAATCCCCTTAATCTTGTTGGTGTCTGGAGAAAATCAGTACCTCTGCTATGTTTTTATAATATGTCAGGGTTTTTAGGGGTTTCATTATTGGAATCTGTCTCAGTACATGCCAAATCCAAGGGAACATTTTACATCAAAGTCTGGACTTCAGGCCCAGATGAAGTTCTAAAACAAGTTTTATGTCACTGCC